TCCCGGGTTCAAATCCTGGAATTGTCCAGCTTTAATTATGGTTCAACACCTAAATTTTCCAACCTTGTTGCATCTCTAGTTTTGTTTCCACTTTGCACATCAAAAGAAAATCGTTGTTCCATAGCTCGTTGGTCTAGGGGTATGATTTTTGCTTCGGGTGCGAAAGGTCTCGGGTTCAAATCCCGGACGAGCCCAGCTTTCATTATGGTTCAACACCTAAATTTTCCACCCTTGTTGCCTCTGTAGTTTTGTTTTCACTTTGCACACCAAATAAAACCGACATTCCATGGCTCGTTGGTCTAGGGGTATGATTCTCGCTTTGGGTGCGAGAAGTCCCGGGTTCAAATCCCGGACGAGCCCAGCTTTCATAATGGTTCAACAACTAAATTTTCCAACATTGTTGCATCTGTAGTTTTGTTTCCATTTGGCACACCAAATAAAACCCAGACACCATGGCTCGTTTGTCAAGGGTTATGGCTTCTTGCTTCGGGTGCGAGAGGTCCTGGGTTCAAATCCCGGATGAGCCCAGCTTTCATTATGGTTAAATTTTCCACACCTGTTACATCTGTAGTTTTGGTTCCACATTGCACACCAAACAAAACCCAAGCACCATGGCAAGTAGTATGATTCTTGCTTTGGGTGCGAGAGGTCCCGGGTTCAAATTCTGGAAGTACCCAGCTTTAATTATGGTTCAACACCAAAATTTTCCACCCTTGTTGCATCTGTAGTTTTTTTTTCACTTTGCACACCAAATAAACCACTTTCCATGGCTAGTTGGTCTAGGGGTATGATTCTCGCTTAGGGTGCGAGAGGTCCCGGGTTCAAATCCCGGACGGGCCCAGCTTTCATTATGGTTCAACACCTATATTTTCCATGTGTTTTGCATCTGTAGTTTTGTTTCCATTTGGCACACCGAATAAAACCCACATTCCATGGCTCGTTGGTCTAGGGGTATGATTCTCGCTTAGGGTGCGAGAGGTCCCAGGTTCAAATCCTGGACGAGCCCAGCTTTCATTATGGTTCAACACCTATATTTTCCATGTGTTTTGCATCTGTAGTTTTGTTTCCATTTGGCACTCCAAATAAAACCCACATTCCATGGCTTGTTGGTCTAGGGGTATGATTCTCGCTTAGGGTGCGAGAGGTCCCGGGTTCAAATCCCAGACGAGCCCAGCTTTCTTTATGGTTCAACACCTATATTCTCCATGTGTTTTGCATCTGTAGTTTTGTTTCCATTTGGCACACCAAATAAAACCCACATTCCATGGCTCTTTGGTCTAGGGGTATGATTCTCGCTTAGGGTGCGAGAGGTCCCGGGTTCAAATCCTGGACGAGTCCAGCTTTAATTATGGTTAAACACCTATATTTTCCATATGTTTTGCATCTGTAGTTTTGTTTCCATTTGGCACTCCAAATAAAACCCACATTCCATGGCTCGTTGGTCTAGGGGTATGATTCTCGCTTTGGGTGCGAGAGGTCCCGAGTTCAAATCCCGGACGAGCCCAGCTTTCATTATGGTTCAACACCTATATTTTCCATGTGTTTTGCATCTGTAGTTTTGTTTCCATTTGGCACATCAAATAAAACCACATTCCATGGCTCGTTGGTCTAGGGGTATGATTCTCGCTTAGGGTGCGAGAGGTCCCGGGTTCAAATCCCGGACGAGGCCAGCTTTAATAATGATTCAATACCTATAATTTCCATGTGTTTTGCATGTGTTGTTTTGTTTCCATTTGGCACACCAT